GCTACTAGGGGCTGCTGGCCTTACTACTAGGAACAAGGACGCTACTACGGGCTGCTGGCCTTACTACTAGGAACAAGGACGCTACTGGCCTTACTACTAGGAGCAAGGACGCTACTAGGGGCTGCTGGCCTTACTACTAGGAACAAGGACGCTACTAGGGGCTGTTGGCCTTACTACTAGGAACAAGGACGCTACGAGGGGCTGCTGGCCTTACTACTAGGAACAAGGACGCTACTAGGGGCTCCTTGCCATACTACTAGGAACAAGGACGCTACTAGGGGCTCCTTGCCTTACTACTAGGAACAAGGACGCTACTAGGGGCTCCTGGCCTTACTACTAGGAACAAGGATGATAGTAGGGGCTGCTAGCCTTACTACTAGGAACAAGGATACTAGGGGCTGCTGGCCTTACTACTAGGAGCAAGGTTTGGCCTTACTACTAGGAGCAAGGACGCTAATAGGGGCTGCTGGCCTTACTACTAGGCAAGGACACTACTAGGGGCTGCTAGCCTTACTACTAGGAGCAAGGTTTGGCCTTACTACTAGGAGCAAGGACGCTGACAGGGGCTGCTGGCCTTACTACTGGGCAAGGACGCTACTAGGGGCTGCTGGCCTTACTATTAGGAGCAAGGGCCCTACTAGGGGCTGCTGGCCTTACTACTAGGAACAAGGACGCTACTAGGGGCTGCTGGCCTTACTACTAGGAGCAAGGACGCTACTAGGGGCTGCTTTTCGTTGGTGAACTGGTAACACCAAAAATGGCACAAGTGACAGGCTCAAAGAGGTGGGTGTAGTTTTCAACTAGCAAACAGCTCTCAAGCTCCAAGTAGTTTTCCGCCGGTGCCGAAGATCTTGGGGGATCCGGATCCGGTGTTCACGGCAACCTCAAAGAAACCACTGCGCACAACGAGCAACCTTTTCGCAAACGACACAAAACTTGTCAGTGGCAAACATGTCACAAAGCACCATGAACTCTCAGGCTCAAACATCCCAAACAACTCCAACGCCCTGCTCAACCCCCTTTGGGAGCTTGTCCATGTGTCCCACCCACGAAGCTCCAAACGAATTGTGCCTCGGAAAAGAAACGCAACGTGACAGGAAACCCATTGCCATGACGCGAGGCCAAAGAAAGACCAGCCTGACTGCATCAGCCCTGGCCAGCGCATTGGGCTTGAAGACTTGGCATTTGCCGCTCCGTGCAGGCGATACCACGTACCGGTATGGGACTGGTAGAGGCTCTTGAGAATCACCACTCACCTCCAAGATTGAACTTTGGGTCAATTGTTTCAACAACTTCTCTGCGCACGACACAACTTGATGGCTAGTCACTGGGTACATCTTTTGCGTCACTTGATGGCAGGCAAGCTCAAATTCAGCAATCCCATGGACTGTGCAACAGTGATGGATAAAGTCTGCCAAGCCCATGATCTTGTGCTCAAAGGCCACCACTGTCAGGTCTGATGCAAAGCGGAAGGGAAGTCCTGATAGCTCCTGTTCCCCGAGGCCTGAGAGAAAACAAGTTATTGAACAAATAGTCCTTGCTGCTCAAAGCAAAGAGTCATGTGGCACAACAGCATTGACGCTGCCTGCCACAATCTTCTCCTCGAAGGTGCCTAGATTGAAACCAGCAATCTCTCCAGGCTCGAGATGGACTTCTTCCGAAGACTCATTGCCCACCCACAGCTGATAAGACGAATCCACCACCAATGCAGGCTTCCCCCGAGCCGCTGCCACATAGAAGAGCCTGGACAGCAACCCGTCAACAAAAAAGAACATATAGGCATGAAAACCAAAGCAGCAATCAATGCTGCCTGTAATGAAAACGCGTAATCAGTTGAAATTGGCTCAAGGGGTTGAGGAAACATGTTACATTTGACACGCTTGACTCGCCCAACCACCTGCTCACGTTGAAAGTGCTCACCGGCGTCTTCTCCTTTTCAAGCAAACGATTGAAATTCAAAGGTGAGGCGCCGCCGTCAACGCTGTAGTCAGGCCTGCCTGTGGCCCTCCGACCCGTCCTTTGCGGTTGTGAGCGCTGAGTAGAAACCTGAGTGTCTGGGAACTCTTGGCACAATTTGTTCTTCATCTCCACGAGCTCTTTGTGCCCCTTGGTCCCCTCAGCGAACTTGCTCAGGACCGATTCAGGGAAAACAGGGTTTCCTCCGCTCCATCACAACAAAGTCAAATCAGGGTCAGCAAGGGCATCCTGTGGGCGAGACTTGGGTGGAGCGGAATCGCTTTCATCCCAATGCTTGTAAACCAAACTCTCCAACTCTGCTTGAACATCTGTCTGGTCGCTTCTCAGGCAACCTAGGTAGATGACCTTTGGGCGCCCATAATTTCCGTGGAGTTGTCGTTCGAGCGAGGCTCGCGCAAATTCACACTGCCTTGCTGGGGCCATGAAACGCATCAGCTACTACCGGCATTTTTTGCGAAGCCAACAAGATCTGAACCAAAACACACAGCCAATTTGCGCACTCTGGTCTTGAACACGCAAGCCCGAAAACAAAGAACGGGCCTGTTTGGAACAACGTCCGCAAAAACAACCCGGTCACTGTCTGTGAACTCCATGCCACGGAAATAGCTCTGCAAGATTTGAGTGTGAGCAGGAACTCCTTTCCTGCCCAAGTTTGGATAAACTGGCAATTCCATTAAAAGCAACGATGACATAAGAACCCAAAGAATCAAAAGCATATCCGAAATGAAACCATGGGTCTGCTCTACCCGCGCCGCAGCCCCAGGCCGAGAATCCGGGTCATATCCGACCATCTCGCTCACACGAATCAATGGACAAGGGCCAATGGAGCCACTGTCTGAGACAGAGCTCGAGAACCAGCTGTTTTGGCCGCCGTGGGCATTTGACGTTACAAAGTGGCATGGGTGAACCATCTTGCGTTTGTCGCCACTGTGCTGACAAGCAGCTTTGTCAAAAATGAGGGCCAATTCGCATGTTGGGTCCAGCTGCGAATTCACCATGAAATGCAGCAAGTGGCTTCGGTGCTTGAGCAGTGCTGTGACCGAAGTCTGCTGCTGCGGCATTGGTAGCTGAAGGTGGCCAGCATTCTGCGAAGACAATGCCACACGGTGGAGGGAGAGAGATTGCGCAAGAACGTGCCCAAGGTTTTGGGCCCTTCAGTTTTGGGTAGCTTAGTAGTAAGCAAGACTGTCACTGTTACAGCGGACTTTCGCAAAAGGTTTTGGTCCAGTGGCGCTGCATTCCTCGAGCCTTAGACTGTCTCAACACGCGCCGGAAGACTTGCTCCAAGCCAAGGATTACCTATGAGCCATGATCAGTTGCCTTCAACCAACATAAATCATGGAGCAGGCCTTCTTCCGGAAGCCTTAGCCTTAGCCTTCCCTTTAGGAATGGCTTTGAACTTCATTTGGTCTGCAGCCTTTTTCAAGGCTTCGTCACACAAATTGTACGCTTCTGCCCACGGGACTCCGTGAGCCCATGCGCGAGCTGCCGCTTTCAAGACCATATTGGTCTTTGCTGCTGCTACATAATGCTTCGCGTGCTTCAAATCTTTCTGGCCCGAAGTCAACCTCAAGTTAAATTGAAAACTCACCCATCAATCAGCGTTAACTCTGGAAAAGATTAAAACTACTCGTTCGGTGGGTTTGGGGGGATGCAGTTCTCTGCAGGTTTCTAGAAGAAGGTAACCAAAGTTGTGCCAGTGTTGCCTTGCTACTGCACAATGTTGGGGATCGGCTCCAAATCTTCCACTTCTGGTTGCGAAGAATGGGCCACACGCTTCCGATAGGAAGCACACCTTGCACCAAGTTCAATTATAATGCTTTGAAGTGCCAGGTGAATATACCTTTGTGTGCCAACCATCGTTTTTGCACTAGGCATGGAACACCCCTCACATGGCATAAAAAACATTCACGACATTTCTCCATGGCTCGCTGAAACTGCCAACAATGGTTCCAAAGGCATTGTTCCCAGCACCCATGATTCCATGTAATCTGCTGCGTCGGTCAAGCCGTAAGATCTCATGATTGGCAAATGCTTGAGGATCTGCTGTTTGAAATCTTCTGCAATGGTGTTCCTGGCTGCAACACCCGCAGGAAGGCCCAGCGGAAGCCTCACCTTAGCCACTTGGTATGGCAAGTACACCGCAGCCAAGTTGTAGTTGGAATCTGCCATGAACTGCTTCGTCCTAAACAAGCAACAAGTGATGCCATTGAAACGTGACGCGTAGCAAACGTTGAGACAGTTAAAATCCTCCAGGTAAAAAAGAAAAAGGGCTGCTCCAGGAACGCATCAGGAATGACAACTCGTTCCTCACTCAAACAAACCATAAACTTCAACGCATGGCTCCTCAGAATGACGTCGCACGGGTGCGGCGCCAATTGCCAAAAGTCATCCTTGATCGGAACCACAGTGTCAGCACCTGATCCAGGCGGCCCAGTTTCAACTTTATACAAGCCGTCAATTTCCAGTCAGCCTTGGCCATGAAAAAAGTGCCTGAACTCTTTCTGTTGCTAGCTCAATACTCAGACTTTGGAGGCGACTTGTGGGGGCCTTTTATCATAGCCAAAGCTGAACAGGCAATGAGCAATACAAGCCCCCAAATGTACACTGCACCAAAATTTAACGGGCCACTGGGAGTCGGACGCAAGTTTTGCCGCTGCTCAAATTCAAAAACGTGGGGGGCCCGCGGGCCCCCGACACCCTTTAGCGTCACAGGTACACCGGGAGCCAGGTAGCCTCTCCTTACCAAGGAACGCGATCTGAAGAAGGATTGGCAAGTCATTGGGCAAAGCTACTACTAGTGTCGCCAGGCAGTGGGAATTTGAAAGAGAACAGAACGCATCTGACAATCAAAGTGTCCAGTCCCGGAACTGGTCTAGCAACACAGCATAGCGGCCAGGTTCATATTGTCGTTGGAGGTGATTATCAAGCCAGTCTTGGATGATGTCTCTGAATTGATGAGGTCCCGTGGCGTGGCGGGCCTTTTTTGCTGTGTGGGTCGCGAGTTGGCCAAAAAGTTGATCCACGTCTTCGTGGGAGTGCCCCGACCGAAGTTGACGTAAATGGGCAGCACGAATGACACCTCACAGATCCCAACATTGAACGAGAACACTAGCGTCTGCGCTACTACAGCCTGCGATTTTCCACAGGCGTTTGTTCGGCCTTAAGGGACTTGGCGGGGCCGTTCTCATGGCTAAGGTCCAAGCTAGAAGAAAAAGGTTGTTTGAAGCCGGGACGCCGTGACTCACGAGGCTTGCTAGCCATCGAATATAGAAGTTGTTTTTCACTTCCCGGGATGTATTGTCCGAGTTGATATTGAGAATGATCATGGAGAGGTCAATCTCTTTCGCTAACAGCTCTAGGGCATGGGCAGTGGTCTCAATACAACTGTTGGCGTCTTTGGGGACATTTGATGGCGACACTGTAAATAGTATGAAGCGACCATGGCATATGAGCCCGCTCACATGTGCTCGAGGTCTCTGGACGGACGCTAGGTCTTTCGAACGAAACACATCCGATCTCGGATATGTAAACTTAGCCTGGTCAACTCCATCCAAGATGAGCGTCACCTCAAATGGGGACCTTGCGCGGCTGCGTGCACGAAGTTCCCAATATACAAGGCGATCGCAGTATTGAGAGCGCAAATGGGCAGTGAATAGCCGCTGCTGTTCCTGTCTCGCTTTTGAGTGGTTTGTCAGGCTCTTGATGATCATTTTGTGTCGTAGGCAAGTGGAACACATAGCATGGCTGGATTGCGGACGGAACTTCATGAAGTGAAAGTCCTGGTACCATACACGCCAGAACGTGCTAAAAGCAACGGGAGGCAGATCGGAGGGAGCTTCTGCAGCCAGCATCTGCTCCCAGTAATCCTTCATATGGCCAGGGGGCAGGAACCTTTCCTCTTCGTCCTTCCGACCCGGATTGATGTACACAGATTTCTTCTTCTTTCTTGTCTTGGTCTTGCCGGTCTTTCTGGACATTGGCTTCACCTCGGATTCTGATTTCATCTCTCCCTGGTTCAGAGCACGCGCGTATGGGTCTGAAAGCTCCGGCACCTCGAGAACAACGCTGGGATTTTGGAAGTCATCATAGCCATCGTCTCGAACATCGGGAAGTTTTTCTGCAACGCTGTCGTAAATTTGTCTCAAGAAAGAAACGACCCTTGGCCTGCTTGTGTCTGAAGGCTTGGTATCTGCTGGCAGCCCCTTCTTGAGGTATCTGCTGTCTAGGGGCGCAGAAATCTCACCACTACGCACGCTTGCAACCAGTCGGTCAAATCGGTGAGAGCCTTGAAGCGCACATGAATGAGAGACGCAAAGCCTTCTGGCAGCTTTTGTTTGGGTTTGTACGTCTTGTCAACCTATCCCGACAACTAAGGCGTCCTGATTGTGATGGTTAAAGCGAATAAGCTCAATAATCTCCGGAAAAATTGGAAAGCCAAAAATATAGATGCAATAGCGCCATGAGAATGTGAGAGAGACAGGGCATGACTGAAATGAGCGACCAAATTGAGCGGATGAAGGACGGCGGCAAAGTCAACATCAAAAGGGGTGATAAAGTTCTAGGTTCATTCTCCCATCGAATTCAATTTTACCACGCCACAAAAGAGCAAAAGCGACGCTGCTGAGTTTTGCCAGAAGAACGCAAAACACCAACACTTGTTGTGGGGATTGCGCCACTTAAAGTCTGCGGAAAATGCGATGACTAACATCAAAGGAAGTATAGCGATGCAAGGTGTGAAAGCGTGCGGTGGGATAAGCATTATAAATTGGCAGGCGGCGAAGCCCCATAGAACATTTTGATCCTCGAAACAGTTGACCTTTAACAGTACATGCATGTTAACTATAAATGCTAAAGGATTCATGATTCGTTACCGACATCAATTTGGAACTCAAAACTGCACTCTTAGAAAGCTCAAAAGAATCGCTTGGAAAAGCAAATAAGGACGGCGCCCAAACCGTGTATTCTCTTCCACGCGGCAACACACACGGTCCTCCCAAGGATCACCCATTGAGTTTTGGGCTGCGCGCTCTCGGGCTCGCCGTTGTCTTCAATCTCCCCTTTGCCAGGTCGCAAGAGTGATCGGATCCGATCAAAGGCCTGTTGGCGGGCGAGTAATAAAAAGGAACCGTGCATAAAGCGCAAACTTTCTTGCTTGGACAAAGCAGCACAAACAAAAACTATTAGACTTGGCTGAAGGCTCTACTTGATCTTGGTCCAATTTGTGCAACGCGTTCCACTGTTCTTTGAATTCTGTGAGTCTAGCCAAGTTGGCAGGCTTCGCAAAGAATCTCATGCAGTTGAGCTTGTATTTGCAGGACTTCCCAACTACAAGTCTGGAACGATTCTCAGGGGTCAAGCTCTCACCGACCGTGCGTTTACGCTTCTTCGGCTTGGCTGGTGGCTGCGACCCCAAGCTTCCAGAGTCATCGCTGAAGCCATCCACGGGAGCAAACATTCGTCAGCAAAGCGGATGCAAAGAATGGGTGAAGGAGTGTTGAAATGAAGACATGCGTGTCTCTCTCAAGTGTCCTTGTTGTCTAAATTGGCATGGGTACTGCAAAGCAACCATTTGCACACTTCAAAGGATGGAGGGAACATGAACACTCAACAAACTTGCAATCCTATCCCAATAGAGCCACATAGGGAGGCCAGGATAGCGACAGATTCTGTCACCAACAAATTCAAAGCTTACCCCGCTCAACTTCAGCAAGCAGTCCGGTTGACGCATCTAAATCTAAATACATGTTCATATCTAACTCAATAACACAATGCGAGGGCCCAGCAAACTCCTGGCAGGAATCCGGAATATACCTGTCCACGCTCTTAGGATTTAAAGAATAGGACATCATTGCACGACATGCAAGAACACTCTTCTGAGCTGAAGAACTCTTGAAAGCAAAAATTGCAAACTTAATTGAAAAAGAACCGCGCCTTAACGTCAAGTCTGCTGCCCAAGGCTGAATCCGTGGGCGCCTGACAGACAGATCGACAAAATTCCAAAGTTAGAATATTCACGCAAGCAACATCTGGACATCTGCAAGTCATGGCACACACGCAATGAAGACCGTGCCTGAAAAACGAGCTAGAGCTCTGCGGGAATGCCCACAGCACCAATGCAGAAGGTCCAATTTCGCAGGGGCTCGAAACATCTAAGAAACAACACGCAACAAATTAAAGAACAATATTCACGGTGGTCACACAGTCCCTGCACTAGCAACGGCGGCGATGGCAAAGTGTTAATTAATTAGCTACGCGCGAGGCAGACCAAATCAAGGGCCACAGATTGCCCTGCCTTCAATCCAAAGATGTCTTGCTTAGTGGCGCGTTGGACTGAATCTGAAACTTACATAGGCGACCTTTGGAGCAATCTATGGCTTCGAAGTCGCCATGACTTCTGCAAGGAAGCTCAACGCCTTCCTGCCCTGCAAGGGCACCACAATGTTGCCCATGCATTCGAGGCGCTTCTTATCCTCCTGGGTTTGAAAATGCTCTAGCCACATGTGACGGGGAACGTCTGCATCAGAATTCCAGGGCTGGCTCATATCAATCTCGACCTTGAAATGGATGTGATCCTGGCTGAACTTGATCTCTCCAAAAAGATGCGTGTCACGCACACGCAGCCCATTCCACGCACTATGATTACAAAGTTCTTTGCTCACAAAGCGTTTGCTCCTGGAACTGAAAAGTTGGGCGCTTCACTACAATGAAACTCGCTTCCGACGGGCCTCCACATCGCTGGGGAGGGGGATTGTTCGAACCATCAGCAGAAGGTATTTATTTGAGGCGCTGACAGGTAGCCCCACGTTGGCCAAGGTCACGCTCACCCACGCAGGCGTTGTGCCTCCTGACAGCTCACAACCAAGATTGTTTCAAGTTGAAAGATGCAATGAATTCAATGTTTCAGTTCACACCAAGTTGAATTCAATGTAGAATCTCCTTCGCAATAAATCCAAACAACTTGCGGCATGAACTCTTCTCGGACAACAAAGCCCCCGCATTTTCAAGCAGCATCGCTTGCCTGAGCTCGCAAACGGTAAGCGCGTGACTTCCCAAAACAGCTTTCAAAAAACTACAACTGTTTGCATGGCAAATCTTCATCTGGCAAGCTGAGAGAATCGCCCACGGGGCATCTCGTCAAAAATTCTGAATGGCTGGCTGATCAGGCTTGATCGGCTGTCTGCCATCCCACGCTGAAAGCCAGCGCTTGAGACTCCCTGCAGTTCAGCCCATGTCATGCACCTTCGCAACAAAAGTCATTGCCCCCAGCCTGGCACGGGAATCCAGCCGTCAGAATTTTGGCTTCCAGTGCACGGCCCGAGGGCACAAATTCCAAGACATCTCGGTAGATGTCGCACTGTGGCAAAAATCATTCTTTCTGTCGTGCACGGAGTACCGCCGCGCAGAACTCTGACTTCTCCACCTTGAAAGTGAGACAAACAAGTCACAACACCGCAGACGGCAGTTGGCCGCTAGACGTTGGGCATCCGGCCATAGCCACAGGGTGCAGAAGACTGGCATGCTAGGGGTTGAAGCCGAATAACTTTCATTTCCGCTCTCTCTCTCTCTCTCAAAAGGCTTCAACATTAATTGGAGTCTTTTTCAAAAGAACATTCAGCGTGCTCGCTTGCACGGCGGCTGGGGTTGCTGGGGAGTGGCGCATTGGCCAGCCATCTCATGATGCGGAGGTGATACAACTTTCTCGGATGAGCCCACTCTGTTGACAATGCGATCCAGCTCCTCAGCTGAACACTCACGCCACTGGTTCTTCTCCCAAAGCCACCTCAGATTCAGCCAGACTCAGACAAAAACAACAACAAAGAGAGTCACGACTTCTGCAGCATGTGTGTGAAAAGGCTCCCCAACATTGATTCTCGCCATCTGCACCACACTGGAGACCCACATGGCACCCTTGCCGCGAGAACGGTCCACGCGTTCGAAAATCAAAAATGTTGGCATCAACTTTAAAACTGCCCTGCCCACCTGATTTGATTTATGCCAGTGGTATGCACAGTCGTCCACTGTGGCATGAGCCAGGAGAGTAGGAAATGACGGGCTACTGGGCACTTGTTTTCTACGCACCGTTCTAATACTGCTGCTGGTAAGCTGGGAGGCCAAGCACAAGTTCCACTCACAACGCAGCAAGTTTTCCGTGACTTGAACGACACTTCTTCAAGATGTAACGCATGCCAGACAGGCTCACGCAAGCCAACCTCTAGGCCTGCAACTCCAGTGAATAGGGATATGCACGGCAGTTTCTTCGCGGCGCAGGCCTGAAGCAACAAGTATTGAACACATGCGAACTCAACTGTCACAGGTGCAAGCATGACTGAAGAGATTGAAGCCTGTGTTGGGAACAAGTTGTCAAAGTGTTTCTGCGAAATGAGCCCTACCGCAGGGTCGGTCCAGTGGATCGGCAGGCCTGGCACAAGCCAGAACCCAAAAACATGCCCATTATTTGAGTTTACAAAGTAAAGGCAACAAAGTGAACAGGACAGGAATGGACGCTAAAAACATACCCGCTGCACCGCTGAACCATTCAGCGGCCAAAGGGGAAAGACAATTCCCCGGTTCCACGTTGTACTCCTTGATGCTGGCGCGGTAGTCGTCGGAGTGTCTGATTTGGTTGGCAAGGTCCTTGGCATTTTCAATCTTTTCATCATATTGGTGTGACAAGTTAAACCTATTTTCCAACTGAGAAATGGGCAGAAATGCCGCGTTCAGAAGTTTGCGACTTTGTGCACCTGCAGCGTATGCAACTCCAAGTCTTGAACGTCCGTGTGCCCGTAAAAATGCGGGCCCCGTTTTTCTTCTGGCCACCTGAACGTTGGCTTCGGACCTGGGCTGTTTGATGGCTGAAAGTTGTGTATATACTGTATAGATAAATAATTCATACATATCAAAAATAAGGCAAACGCTTTCAATGCCAAAGGCTTGCAACGTTCCAACTTCAATGCCACTGGATGAAGTTTACCCTTCTTCACGCAGGCATGCGCCGGCATCTTCCCCTGACAGGTTTTGGGCAACAACCACTTCACAGTGCGAAAAGACTTAACAAACAAGCCTTCAGGTGGAACTTTGTTGGCCCCTTTCTTCCCTTACGAAGTTTCTTGACCACCTGCACACATGGGACTAACAAGTCAAGTCCACGTCAAGCCTCGGACAAAGCTTAGAAATTGACTTGCCAAATATCTAGTTTCCCAACCTTCATTGGCATTGGTTTTGGCTGCGGAACATCAATTTCAGACTCAGAGGCTGTCCTGAACTGCCACTGGCATTGAATCTGGGAGTGCTCTGCCAGGTTCTGAACAAAAAACCAGCTGCGCTCAGGCAAGCACATCTCTGTGACCGCGGCAAACATGGATGAGGTAGGCCGTCCCGATCAAAAAGCCAAAACGTCACACTCCAAAAGGCTTGGAAAACTTGACTATGTGTGCCGTTTGGAAACTCTCAAGGAACGTGTCTTGCAAAAAAAACGATTCAGCACGCATTCCTCCGACTCCAAGAAACACTTGGAGTTTGGCTGAAGAACCCTCGAACTCTTTAGAATAACACATGCAAATGAAAACAAAATCCTCAAAATCGCCATCCGATTTCTTCACACAGAGCCACGAGCGCCAGGTCAATAAACTTTGGCCCCAGGTTCAGATCAATAAACTTTGGCAACCAGATTCGCGAAAGCCAGATCAATAAACTTTGGCAACCCGGTTCATTTTGGCAACCCGGTTCAAAGAAATTTCTTTAAATTCCAGGCACAAAGAGCTGATCCGAATCATCAAAGGCACTGATTTCGCCTTCTGGGAGAACTCTGGCGTTTCCTCAGACACGGTTGACTTTGCCTACGATGCTAGAAATGGATTTCTTTGCCGCATCTTGGAAGGGCGGATTGTGCTGGGGGGGTTGATGATTCAGCGGCCACGCCTCAGGCCAATTCGAGTACTGATGCGGCCACCAAGGCCAATGTTGCGAAGGACCCGTGGGCTGCAGGGGATCCGTGGTCGAAGAAACCCAAACGCCTCTTCTCCACCAAGCGGGAGGACTTGTTGCTCCCGGACAAACATCCAGTGCTCAATGCCAAAGGCAACATGCTTGATCAGACC